GCCCAGGATCGGACATTGTTTCGTTCTGCTGTGCATGGGGTCGCTATGAGTCAGTTCCGACTCGATGGCACCTGACAACAACAACAACAACAAGTGAGTCAGTGGTTAAGCTGAAAGTCAGCAGTTCCAACCCACCAGCCCTCTGTAAGAGAAAGATGTGGTAATCTGCTTTCATGAAGATTTATAGCTTTGAAAACCCTATTCTACTCTGTCCTATAGGGGGCACTGTGAGATGTAGTCAATTTGATGGCAGCTGGTGGGTTGATGATTCTAGTCTTATTTCTTTCTGCCTAGTACAGTGCCTGGCACATGGTAAGTATTGAGTAAATTAAAATGTACTTTGAAAGTCAGAATGAGTGGAGTGACAAGGGATAGAGTGATCCTCTGAGAGGGGACTGAGTGAGAATCTGGTGGTCTTCATGGTACACTCCTTTTAGGACCCAGAGACCTGAACTGGCCTGGTGTTTCAAGGCAGCTCAGAACCAAAGCCTGGAACCAGAAACTGTATCCAGACTGGACAGAAGTCCAGGGGTCTGACTGCTGGAGAGGTAGGCAGTTGGCAGACCATGGAGGAAGCATTGTGGGAATGGGATGGGAAGCGGAACAATGGAATTGATTATAGCTTGGGAAGGTAGAAGGAGAAAGGTATATGGGGAGGGGCAGGTGAGATTCCCAGCTAATGTAGCTTCCCTACCCAGGTGGCCAGGTGTCCCTGAAGGTCAGTAATGATGGTCCCACTTTGACCGGGGCAAATGCTTCCTTCTCTGTTAACCTGAACTTTCCTGAAAGCCAAAGAGTGCTGCTGGATGGGCAAGTCATCTGGGCCAACAATGCCACTGTCAATGGTGAGTACTTCTCTATTTCAGGTAACCATTTCTAGGGCTCACATTCCCTGGAATCCCTAGGAAGTTCAGGGAATGCCCTCTCCAATTCTTTATTTTTTTCAAATTATATGTGTAATACATATGCATTGTTGTAAAACTAGAAAACAGATAAACCAAAAAGAAAAGAAAGTCATAGCCCTAGGGATAGTAGAATCCAGCAAACATAGAAGCTAGACAGATCTGGATTTAAACTTATTACTAGGATCTGAACCTGGGCTACTTACTCCCTCCCCCCCTTTTTTTTTTTAATCTACTTACCCTTTTTATGCTTCCATTTTCTTATCTGAATAATGGGATTAAAATGTGATAATAAAGTATTTGTCCTAGTATTTGTCCTTACCCACAGTAAAGACACAATAAATGTTTTTATCTCACCAGCTAGAGGAAGGGGAGCTTGGTGGCTCCATATGATAAGCTCTGGTCTGTGAACCACAAGGTCTGTGGTTCAAGCCTAAGCCACTCTGCAGGAGAAAGATGAGGCTTTCTGCTCCTGCAAAGATTTAAAAGCCTCGGAAACCCTATACAGGGTCACTATGAGTCAGAACCTACTTGAAGGCACTTAACAATAACAAGCTAGAGGAAGTCACTCGAAACATTTTGATAGTCTTCTAATTTTTTCTTCACAAAAAGATTTAAAACCTCGGAAACCCTATTCAGGGTTGCTATGAGTAGACACCACCAATTCCACGGCACATGACAACAATAGCAAGTTATATAGGGATGCTTCAAAAAGTTTGTAGGAAAATTCCATCATTTTTCAATTCCATTTTTCCATGAAGTTTTTGAAGCTCCCTCGTATACATATGAATCTTTAATAGTAGTTTCCATTCACCCCACACTACCACTTCAAATGGGTTATATCATAGAGAATGTACTTCTCACTAGGAAATATTCCCTGAGCTTCTTTTTGGACCTCAAGGTGCCATCTTAGGAGTTTTGGTGAATGGAACAGAATGCCATTGTTTGAGGGTGGCTCTGCATCTGCCTCTCAGGGAGCAAGGTATGGGAAGGACAGCCCGTCTATCCCCAGGATCCTGATGATGCCTGCATCTTCCCTGATGGAGGACCCTGCCCATCTGGCCCATGGCCTCAGAGGAGAAGCTTTGTTTATGTCTGGAAGACCTGGGGTGAGGGACTCCCTTCTCTGAATTGTCACTCACGCTCACCTCTTCTTACTTGATCTCCCTTATTTTTGACCTTACCCCAGAACCTCTGTGGTTTCCCCTAATAGCCTTCATTTCCTCCCTAACTCTTTTGTCTCCACTAGTGCCTCTCCCCCAACTCTCTCTCTCTCTCATAGTTCTTTCTGGGGAGTCTTTCCCCAATTACATCACCACATGGAATCCCTCATTTAGGACTCTTCCCTGCCCCCATGTCACAGCCTTCTAAAAGTCTTCTGAAGTAGCCACTCTCAACCTAGTTCCTAACTTCCCTTCTCTAGTGTCCCTTCTCTGATTCTATTTATTTCTGAAAACCTCAGGCCAATACTGGCAAGTTCTGGGGGGCCCAGTGTCTGGGCTGAGCATTGGCACAGACAGGGCTGTGCTGGGCACACATACCATGGAAGTGACTGTCTACCACCACCGAGGGCCCCAGAGTTACGTGCCTCTTGCCCACTCCCACTCATCCTTTACCATCACTGGTAAGAGATAAGGAAAGGGTAAGGGCAGTCTTGGGGCAGGAGAAGATGGGGAGGAAAGGGAAATTGTATAACTTAAAAGGGGCGGGAAGACCTGGGCAGAGGATGTGAGACTTGGAACCAGTGAAGGGCTAGCCTGCTTGTGGTTGCAGGGTGTGGCTGTGAAAGCAGTTGCTGTTCAGACCTGGTTTCTCACCTTTTCTGGCTCCTATCTCAGATCAAGTACCCTTCTCCGTGAGTGTATCCCAGCTGCAGACCTTGGATGTAGGGAACAAGCAATTCCTGAGGAATCAACCTCTGACTTTTGCCCTCCAACTCCATGACCCCAGTGGCTATTTGACTGGAGCTGACCTCTCCTACACCTGGGACTTTGGAGACAGTAGTGGGACCCTGATCTCTCGGACACATGTGGTAACTCACACATACCTGGAAGCTGGCCCAGTCACCGCCCAGGTGGTACTGCAGGCTGCCATTCCTCTCACCTCCTGTGGCTTCTCCCCAGTTCCAGGCACCACAGATAGGCACATACCAACTACACAGGTCCCTGGCACCACAGGTGAGCTAGTGCCTACTTCAAAAGTTGTAGGTACTACACCTGGTCAGGTGCCAACGGCAGAGTCCTCTGGAACTACAACTGTGGAAGTGCCAACCACAGAAGTCATTGGCACTACACCTGGGCAAATGCCAACCTCAGGGGCTATAAGCACGATCCTTGCAGAGTTGCCAACTGCAGAGCTCATAGGTACCACAGCTGCAGAGATGTCATCTGCAGATGCCTCTGAAACCACAGCTACACAGGTAACAACTACAGTGTTGGTGGAGACCACAGCTGCGGAGGTAGCCAGTCCTAAGTCTGAGGGCCCAGATGCTAGCCCATTCATGCCTACAGAAGTTATTACAGGTAAGAGGGCAATGGAAAGGAAGTTTATAGAGGTGGAACATTTGTTACTCTGCCAAAGAGCTGAAAGTCTTAGATGTGACTCAGGTGTTACCCAATCCTCTGCTTAACACTATGTTTCCCTCAGAGCCTTCACTGGCTTTGAAACCCTGAAGTTCCTTTAACTGGCATGGAATAATCTGGAGTTTAGAAAACAAGGTTCTTCCCCTGGGCCATGGGAGAGAGTTTGTTTCTTCCCTACTCCTGAGGGATGTTGGGAATTTCAAGGAACAAACTGTGATCATTTACACAATATTTGTATCTCAACTTCTGTTCCAAGTATGAATGCACAGAAATCTTTCCCAGACTCACACACTATTTTGCTTCCATTTCCCATGCCTGGATTCCCATCCCAAAGCAAGTCAGCTGGAATTGTGGTAGAAACACTCAAGAGGGAAGAAATTCCAGCTCTGAGGCAGTAATTTTCTTTTTTTGGCCCTCAGTTTCCTTATCTATAAAATGAGATTTCCCAGGTAGTCCTGGGATTCCAAATCAATGACTCCTTGATCTGTAACTCTGGCTCTAGGGACTTGAGGGAGGAGGGGAGAAGGGGAATCCTGCTTGGTTTCTGCCTCATAGCAAGTCATCTGTCTTGTGATCTTGCTTTCTCCCTCTTCTGCCAGGTTCCATGAGCCCCCTGTTGGAAGGCACAGCTACCTTAATCCTGGTGAAGCGACAGGTGCCTCTGGATTGCATTCTGTATCGATATGGCTCCTTTTCTCTCACCCTGGACATTGTCCGTGAGTCTTGACTACATTGTGGGTTGAGGGAGGAGATATGTGCAGCCAAGGGCTGGCTAGTGAAGGCATGGCTTTGGGGTAGTTACTTACTTATACAGTAAGAATATCCTCAGTTGAAAACACTGGAATGGGACTGGGGAATCAGTCCTAGGGGGGCCTGTCTATGAGCCTTCGGAGAGGACTGGTGGAAGAGTCCCACCTTTACAATCTTGCAACTCTGCAGAGGGTATTGAGAGTGCTGAGATCCTGCAGGCTGTGCCATCCAGTGAGGGGGATGCCTTTGAGCTGACAGTGTCCTGCCAAGGCGGGTGAGTATCACTGGTCACTCTCGGAATTCCTGAACTGACTGTTGACCTGCCTTTTTGGTGCCCAGTCTTCCTTCCCAGACCCCTGATGTGACACCTCTCCCAGGCTGCCCAAGGAAGCTTGTATGGACATCTCATCACCAGGGTGTCAGCCCCCTGCCCAGAGGCTGTGCCAACCTGTGCCACCCAGCCCAGTCTGCCAGATGGTTCTGCATCAAGTACTGAAAGGAGGCTCAGGGATCTACTGCCTCAATGTATCTTTGGCTGATGCCAACAGCCTGGCAATGGTCAGCACTCAGCTTGTCATGCCTGGTAGGTACAAGAGCTAGGATGAAAAAGAGGTGTAGGCAGAGGCCAACTGGCAGGGAGCAGGTACTGACTAATGCTATGCTTGGGATTCTGCTCACAGGTCAAGAGATAGGCCTTGGCCAGCTTCCCTTGTTTGTGGGCATCTTGTTAGTATTGATGGCTGTCGTGCTTGCATCTTTGATATATAGGTAAGCGATCCACCATTCAGCTGAGACCCTCTTATTCCTTATTACCACCACTCACTTTTTCCTCAATGCCTTATTGCTGCTACTTCCTTTGTGGACACATGATATCCAAGAAAGAACTCAGGCTTGGAAGTTAAGACAGACCATGGGACCTTAGCCGAGTAACTTAACCTCTCTGAGCCTGTTTTCTCCTCTGAAAAATAGAAAAACTAATACCTGCTATGCAGAGTTCTCATAAGGATTGGAGACAATGTGGGTAAAGCACCTGACACTGAAGCTAGAGTAGAATAAATGATGGTGCTGTGACTGTTGTTATCAATAATAAGAGTGGGAGAGGTTGGATCAATTAAGGTTCTCCAGTGGTTACGAATCGGGCTGCGAACCTTAAGGTCAGCGGTTTGAAACTACCAGCTGCTCCACGGGAGAAAGATGAGGCTTTCTACTCCCGTAAA